GGTAGGATATCGGACTGGGGACCGTCCAAGAGTAGGAGCAGGGGGGGCAGGGCGGCCTGGGGGCTAGCGGTCCGGATCGCTTGCTGCGGAACAGGTAGTAGTGCCGAAGGGAGCAGAGGCGCGCAGACGGGGGGGATGGCAGCTGAAGTTTGATGATAGGAGGACCCGTGCCGCCGGGGGCGGGACCATGTGGTTCGCGCGCAGGTGAGGGCGGAGAGGTGGCCCGAACGGCAGGGGGCGGACCAGGGCGGAGGGCGGAGGTCGGGCGGGAGGGGCGGTGGGACGCGGCGGGGGGCGGCGCGCGTGTGCGGGTGTCGTGGGGCCAAAGCCGAGGAGGCAGGTGTGGCGGGTGGAGGCCTGGTGGGGAGGAGAGGCCAGAGACATGAGGGTGATAACAGTGGGGGAGAGATAGGGTGGCACGAGGTGAAGACAGGAGGCGAAGCACACACACGGAGACAAGGCGGAGCACAGATGAAAGGTAGCAGGGGGCAAGCCCCCACGGCAGTCCCGCCGGGCCGGGCCCTGGTTGGGAACCTGTATTTTTGGCAGTGGTAATTCTTCGTGAGGTTGAGGGTTTCGGGCAGCAGCAGGCGATGAAGGTGAGGTGGAGGAGGAATGTTGCATGTTTAAGGGACGAGGATAGATTGTTACCTTTCGGTTGCCGTAGCGCCGCCCACGGCCTAAAGTATTTACTCCTAAGTGTATTGCGTGTTTTTATTAAAGAAAGAAGACCCGCGTGAGATCGGGGGTTTTCCCCGCGTGGATGGCGGAGATCTGGGTTCAGCAAACTATAGTACGGCTTGTGGTTTTTCCTAAACAACCTGTTTTATCTCAACCGCGTCTGCCCGGGTATCGTGTGGGTAGGTGGTAGTGCATTTTATTGTAGTGTAAGGGGAGAGGCATTAGGAACAGAGGACAGCAAGAAAGATAGCGCGCGGCCCGCTGGCCGTTTTTTTAGGGTACTGCGCCGTCATTTCGGCCTACTTTGATCGGAGATGACCACGAAAAACTACCCGCATTCAGAACACGCCAATGCCTCTACTGATATTCTCTTCCTGACCAGGCGACTGAATTCGACCTAGCTGACAAAGCTAGGTGTCGGCCAAATCTCGCCACTGTCGAGGACTCGAACCTAGGACCTTCCCGGTCCTCACGCCATCTGGCCAGTGTCATCATTTGATGCACATGAGCCAAGCCTCTCATGCCGGCACCCTGAGTTGGGTGTGAAGCTTTGGTGTGTGGGGAGGGTCGTGGTGGGCGGTGCGAAGGGGTTTGCGTGGCTTGTCGGCGCTGCGCAGGGGACGGCTTCCCTCCACGCCTTTGGAGGGGAGGGGAGTGAGGGAGAGAGGGGATGAGGGTGTGGCATTTCGATGGCGGCGATGGCGGAGGGGTTGCGGTTGCGGCATTGAGTTGACAGGTTGAATGGTCGACGGGGCTGTAGAGGACGGAGGAAAACTTGGGATGACGACGGTGCGTCAGCATGTGTTGCGGAAGCGTATCTAAGAAATGTCGAAACCCCAAACTAATATGACCTCACGCCAATTATAGTCACCGGAAGTTATTCCGTTGACTGGTAAACAAAAAAAATCGCCGGAACAAGGGGCCATTTTCGGACGCAAGGCGCATACTGCTAAAAAATGACATCAATGAGACGGTGGTCGGAATCGTATGTTTTCTGCGGAATCGCACGTAGCAGGCTGCTCGCCCATCGCACTCGCACTCGACATTCGCACTTCCCTCCGCATTCGCACTCGCTCCTCCAGCACTTCGCATTCGCGCTCCGCGCTCGCTATATAGCACTGGGTCAGCGCCGCCGCGCCCGTTGGGCTCTCGGTTGCCCCCTCTCCACCCCGCCGGGCTTCCGCAGAAAAAGTGCCTACTGCCGCGACACACCCCACAGAATCGAATAAGCGCCCCTTGCTTACTGAGACTGCATTAATTACCGGCGCATCCCAACCGGCCGGGATAGAATTGAAATTCTAGAATTGAATGCATCCAGGTGGCGCAGAGTTTCAGTAGGACCGCGCGCACGCGCTCATCCGCCTCTGCCCCGGCGCGCGCCTGCACTCTCTCCTCGCCCCGCGAACACCTCCTGCAATGCCTCGCCTTGCCTGCCCTCCACCTAATCGCCCTGTCTCCGTATATCGTCCCCGCCCGAGCCCACGCCCTTTCCCAACTCGGCCGTCCTCCTCTCCTCGTCCTTTCCCCTCTCCGCCCTCTTTCGTCCTCTCTCCGTTCTCATTCATTTTCTTCTCCCTCGCTCTTTCTTCAACCCCCACCTTAAACTCAACTCCTTCTCACCTTTTCCATTAACACCGCCTCGCCCCTCCTCCTTGCCACGACCCTCCCCCGCCTCCCCCCCCACCCCCACCGCGCCCGCCCCTCCGACTCCTCTTTCCCCGTTTATCCGCGATCTTCCCCTCCCCCCCGTCTCCTCTCCACCCCTCTACTCTCGCGCTCTAACACGTATTCTTTCCTGGCGCCCTCTCCCCGCCCCGTCAATCCCCGCCCCCTCACTCCTTGCCCCGTCACTCTCCGTCGCGTCACTCCTTGCCCCATTACTCCCCGCCCCGGCTTTGCCTCGTGATCGGCCGCGCTCGCCCCGCCGCGTCCCGCCTTGGCGTGCGGTCGCTGTGGCGCTGGATCTCGAGAATGACGCTTTGGTCAGATCCTTCGGGCGGTGCGCGCGTCGGATGCGTGGCTCTGTATCGAAGAAAGTTTAATACCCCTCTTGCGAATTATTCTTTGCGCTTTGTTAATTTCCTCTGAATGCGAAGGAGAGAGCTGGGTGGAAGAAACGTGTTGGCGAGGTAGAATGCTGTACTTGGTAGAGCAGTTTCTTTGTATAATGTGACAGACCGCGAACGTGCTAGGATACTGAGAACGTAATTAATAGGAGAGCATGCGAAAGAAAGTCTAATTCAGATGATTATTTACTACAAAGCTAGATTAATAATATGAAGCATATCCCGGTGTACCTATAACTAAGGAATTATCGTGGCGTTTCTTAGATCTGTCCGCTTCCTTTTGTATAGATTTCAAAAACTCTCTGACGACAGAACCATGCCAAATACGTGACGCATTGCTGTTTGTTTAAGGACAAATTACTGGAGAAATGTGAGATTAAAGTAGACAGTTTGAATATGTCTTAGTGAAACATATTCTGAATTTACAAAAAACAATAAAATAAAAACCAACGATCATTTACAGTCAACAATTAATACTGACTCTTAATTTTTAAAATCTTGTAAAATGATCAATGTTTCTTGGGTGCCTGATGGAAACCTAAGGTTAAATGTGAAGATATTGGAGGGAAATATTGAACACAATTTTTAATATTACTCTGGATGTGCTGTGTTTGCTAGTAGAATCTTAGTGGTTGATTTGTAGACAAACATTCTAGAGTGGTCTTTAAAAATTTGTTCTTGTTTCTCTCAAATCTCAATCAGAATAAGTATCGTCTGTCCAAGCATCCACGAAGTAACATGCTGTATTAAAGAGTCGTGTTTATGCCTACGTCAACAATGAATATAATTTCGTCTCATGACTTCCAACTGCTTAAAAAATGAGTCGCATCTCTTTCAAATCCTACTCCTTCCTGACTCAGAAGAGTCTCTCGCCAACCATCCATAGGAAGTAAAAATGAGACGTCAAGGCGGCGGCTGACCGGCAGAGACAACGCCCTTTGACACCTGGCACTGGCGTTGTCTCCGGGGTGCGCGAGGGGGAGGGGACGGAGAGGAGAGGAACTCCGTCCCTTCTCGCCGTGGCCGCCCTGCCGCCGCCGGCGAGAACCCGCATTGAGCGCCGGCCTCTGTTTGTGTTCCCCCGCAGACCCGCCGGAAATCACCCTGCGGCCCCGCGACCAGCAGGTGAAGGCTGGGGGCGTGGCGGCCTTCTATTGCCAGGCGCGCGGCGACCCGCAGCCCACGCTCCAGTGGCGCAAGAACGGCAAGCGCGTGTCCAGCACGCAGTCGCGCTACCTGGTGCACGAGTTCCCGCAGGGCGGCGCGCTGCTGCGCATCGAGCCCGTGCGCGCGGGCCGCGACGACGCCGCCTACGAGTGCGTGGCCGAGAACGGCGTCGGCGACGCCGTCAGCGCCGAGGCCATCCTCACCGTCTACGAGAGTGAGTAACTTTGATGTTTGTTGTTGTTTTTTTCTTGTTTTTTGCCATGCTCGAGTTTTCGAAGGAACGTCATTGGGGCTTTGCTAGTGGGACGGAGCAATCAGATGGATTATTTTTGCTCCTTCCGAAATCAAGAAAAATTAAGATTGTATAAATTTGGGATTGGTTAAAAAAAGTAGGGAGTCTGTCTAGTTAATGCTCTTCCTCATTTAATTCATGGTATGTCATATACTTAGCATTGCGCTTTGCGTAACTATATCCCTTCCCTTGTTGATAGTACCTGCTGAAAAATATGTAGATACTTCGTTTATGAAACACGGAAAAATGTAAGAGAATTGCTGATGTTAATATCTTATCAATATGACATCTAAAAAGGAACTAACTTTTGGAAAATGGAATTGTTATATTTCGTACTCTTCCATATTAATTTTACTAAGAAGCTTAAATAATACACATAATATTATGCTATCCATGTGAATGATTTTATGTCAACAGTTACCCATGCGGGAAAAATGACCAGCTATTCATTTTAATTATATTTATCTCTCAAGATACAAGGTTAGAAATTTCTATTTTTACACTTGAAATTTCGTATCGATTTTCTAAAACGTAAATGGAAAATTTTGTTCTGTAGTTCCAGAAGTATCCAGCTTTCAGGTTAATTGAGGTAAATCGACCTTTCTCATGAAAGAATATGCCACAGAAATTAACAATAAATTTCTTATTTTCTCCACTTTTAAGCCGAAACTTTTCTTTTAAGAAAACAATTAATTAATTCGTTCGAATTACAATAATCGTTCGGCAAAAACTATTCCACATCACATTTTTTTTATTTCTGTAATAATTTGGGTGATTTCTTAAAGAGATAATTTTCACATACACTTTTTAGCATTTGAGTTAGTCTCAACCGCTTTCCTTCGAAAATGCGAATGTTTTCTTTTCAGGCGTCTCGTCGAATTTATGCGTCTCTTATTTCTAAAATTATGATTTGCAATTGCAGTATGTATATATGCACCATTAGATCAACGAGAAAAATATTATTCCTGAAAAGACCAGGAAGTAATTTCAAGGCAATATTTGCTTTCCCGTGAAAGCAAGTGGAACCTATTCGAAATACAGGTTTCCTAGGAGTGTAATTGTTATGTGAGCTTATGGGTTGTACCAATCTCTGGAATTGTAACGGGTACGTGAACTAATATACATAGTTACTGAAACGTATCAGAAATTACGCTGATAAAGGGGTGTATTTGACTTTAGTTCCAATTCTCTTCGAAACTTGAATATGAGAACCACCATGATTTTATAATTTATTTGAAAATCACTTAATATTATACTCTATCTCTATTTCTATTCCATACACATTTTTCTTTACATCGCTGATAATTAATGTTTTGGTTTTTTAGCAACTATAGTGTAGAGTAAAATAAATTGTATTTTAACGTAGGGAAAGAGCACTTGAAAATATTGTGAAAAACAGCCCTTATGACGGTATCAAGTTGAAAGAGGCGCCCAGCAAAAGCATGAAGTCCAAGAGGACACAATGCCGACGCGTTAGGAAAGGCAAGTATGCGATCGGCCGTGAATTGCCTTCATTCAAGCGCAGGGGGGAACGCGGCCAAATTCCACATGCCGTTGAACGAGCGGACTCGCGAGCTCTGTGAACGCTGCCAAAGGCGTGGCGCCATCCACCGGGACGTTCGCTACCCGTACGCTCCGCGCCCCTAGCTGCGTCTCCGCCCTTGCTTCTGCCCTTGCTTCCGCCCTTGCCTCCGCTCTTGCCTCCGCCCTTGCCTCCGCCCTTGCCTCCGCCCTTGCCTCCGCCCTTGCCTCCGCCACTGGCCTCAGCTGGTGCTGCCTTTTGCCTCTGCCTGCTTATGTAAATTTCGCCGGGAGGGACTGCCCGCCGTGCACCCTCATCTCCATGCCACTGTCACTCGCCCGCTGCTGCCAGCTTTCGCAATTACCTCCCATCGCCCTATTCTATTGGTTGTCAATTACTTCCTGTGCCGTCCTCTGCTATTTTTTTTACAATGGTCACTTCTTACAAACCGCTAATATCTTTCTCTTATTTTTCTCTTCCTCTCATATGATTGAAGCCTTCTTTAATCTTGCATTCTTTATCCTCTACTTTTCGCTGTCATGTAATACTTCTCACCGGCGGATACTTAGCACCATCTTGGACATTTACCGATTTCCTCTGCTACCCATCATAATGTGATTTGTTTCATCTATTCCCATTATTAATGGAGGCTTGTTCTCCCTCGATTCTCTATTCCTCCGTCTGTCTTCGACCCACCCTTTCTCTCTCCTCGTTCCAGCTCTCCTTCTCCCCGTCTTCGCTAGCCACCTGCAGTGCGGCGGGCGTCGCCGTCCGGTTCGGCCCGTGCCGCTGCCGTGGGAAGCAGGCGGCGTGGCCGGTGGCCGTGGCCCTGCGCAGGTGCCCGTTGCCATGGCAATGGCTTGTTATTATTGTGGACGTTGGGCCCGTGCCGGCCGCGCCCTCTGCTTGCCGTCGCCTGCTGTGCGTGCGCACGTCGCCCCGGCACCCGGCGCCCGCCGCCCGCCGCCCGGCCTAGCCTCAGTTGACACGGCTTATGTCTTCACCCGTTCCCACCGTGATTCGGGCGCAACGGGTGGTCTCATTAGTTTCTAAGCGGCTCAAGATGCGCAGCCTTTCTTTGCAGGAACCTTTGCAATGGACCAGCTTGCAATACCTTATGGTGTTCTGTCTTTGGATTCATTATGTTATATACCAACGTCCAATTTTAATTGGCATTGTTTTTTTCTGCGTGACACTTAACTGTAACAATATTTTTCGATATCTCCTATTAAAACTATTCACAATGCCATTGAATAATTGGTAAAATTTAAAAGACTAGTTACATCTGAGCCCTACGACGTTACAGTAGTTATGAAGAAAAAAATAATTGCAATTGAGATAAAGTTGAATAGCGCTAAGAAATCTCTCACGTCTCGAATATCCGTCACCAGGAAAGATTTTCAAAACCAAAATATGTATTTCCAAAACTTCAATTTTATGAATATTTGTATAATGTATTAAGTTTCGATTAATTTGGAGATGTATGTGCGTGTGTTATTTGAATTTTTTTCTCAAAATGCTTTGAAGAAAAAATGGGATAGTTATTTTCAGTTTAATTAATTTGATCACGCTACCAAATGTTATTACGTGCAACTGCTCAAATATATTTCAAAAGCTCTTGCTGGGTGACTCTAGATAACTTCGTTTCTGATGCGCGTGAAATGAGATTTATATAAATTGTACTGCTGTAGCTACATTTATTTATCAGTTTTATGCAATTTGGCAACAAAGTTGCGAAAAGTATTGATTTTCTGGGCACGAGTCGACAGTAATTTAATTTTGTACATTGAATTGAATATTGAAGTAACGATTTAATGGAAAAACTTACATTAATTGAGACGTAATTTCACTCAGTGGAGAGTGACGTTTTTGCTTCAACATTGCTTTTAAATTCTCTTTTTGAATAATCGCAAGAAGGGAACATTTTTCCTTTTACTTTTTATGTGCTGAAATTGTTCCTTTGCTTCTAATAATCCTGCTTTCTTGAAAAAAAAAGACACCCCAGATTTTTATACAACCCCATAATATTATCTGCTTTCATATATTTTCACATGTCTGCCAACATGGTTATTCATGCCGACATGATCTATTCTTTTTCTAAGTTACTACGGATAATTGTTTTGAGAGAACAATAAATTGGATGCTGCAATATATCTTGTTTGTAACGAAAATTGAACTGATCAATATGTAATTTTCATTTCCGTATCGGAGGTAAAAGTGCACTATGTCAAATGCACCTAATTTTATAGGAATGTAGTCTACAAATGTATTCCCTTGTAGGTTAATGGACATGTTAATTCCGTTATTTCTAACTTCGTTATCCATTAATTTCTAGTACAGTTCTTTGTACCTCCAGGAAGAGCAATAAACTAAATCGAGCGTGGTAAAACAGCCCATTACTTTGGCAGAAAATGGACTTAATGCCCTTTACCTCCGGGCCACATATTTGCATGTGGGTTTTTAACTTGTGCCAAAAGTACTCATTAAACATCTCGGGAGATCCACAAACGTTTCAAATATATATACAACAATAATACAATAATAAATTATTGTGTGATGTTTACCCCTTTCGAGACGCAATGAAGCGTATACCTTGTCGTTTGCACGTAACAGATTGCTGGTTCTTAAAGTCTGCTTTTTCATCGAAACAGACGCAGTTTTTATTTACGCGTCTTATATTAATAATTGTATTTGTCTTAGAAATTCGTAAATACCTTATTATTAATTAGAGTTAAACTTGGTTGTAACGTATGTTTTGTGTGTGTTATTGGAATCAAGCAGTGCTCTGTTTATCTTGCGATAAATTAACTTTTTGATTGGCGTTGAGCTGCTTCACGGGTCTGCGTCGTTCGTGAGCGCATCGCCTTGTAGCAGGGAGTCTGTGCCATGTCCCGCCCTCCCTGTCTCGCTGTGACCAGGCGCTTCCTTCTATTGCATGTTTAATTCTCCCGAGGGAATTGTTTCAACTCGTCGGTGACAGTTGTAGACGTATTGGAGAATTTCGATAATTCTCTTTTCGTATTTCTTCGATGTTTTGTTTGTGACTTTCGCTCTGTCTCTCCGGAAGGATAAGAATCAGGTAAAGAATGAAACCAGTCGTGTTTGCGACGCAGTCATGAGGACCACATCAGTGGGAATTCCTGTCATCTAAAGCGTTACCCCAGGGAAGCACCGATAATGTTATAATATCTTTTTCGTCTGCTCGTGTGTTATTTAGTTCCTGCAGACTAGGCATTTTTAGACAGAATGAAGGACACATTACGTGGCCGGCGATATTCATCTACCGAAAAAGCGAAGAACGCTATGCATGATTGGTGACGCATTTCTCGAAAGGAATGGTTTTCTGCAGCCATTTGTAAAATTTCCGAAGGAAGAGGTGCATTTAGTTTGGTGAGAATACCTGCAATTTTCATATTTGTATTGTAAGAATAAAATAAATATCGTGGATTTTGTAGCGGTTCTCCAAAGCGCACCAAGTATATAAAAGTATTTAATTGACTATTATATGAAAAGGAACATGTAATTTGAATGAATCTTGAAATGTGTGATATGAAAATGTTCGTAATATAGAGTAACTTTCAGGAAATGCAGCGGATACACAGAGAATCATGGCCAGCAATGACCAATGTTCAATCTTGTTATTTCACGGTAGTTTTTAAACGCCATTGTTTAACTGAAGCTCATGTTTTATTTATATATTTATGTATTTTGAAATTTAATACATTGTGCATCATTTTAGATAAAAAAAATACGTGAGGCTGTTGTAAAAACGGCTGGAGTTTATACTTTTGTAGATAGTTTTTAGAGCAGTGCAACAATTTAGCAAGAGACCAGTATATAACTTTCCTTTATTACGTTCCATGAACGAGAAAATATTTTTTAAACCACCTACATTTATAGAAGTTTTCATTACTGCACAACTCAGAAGAATTCATTTGTTCCATTTTTCAAGCAAAAATATTAAAATCACAACTGACACAAACTAAAATGTATCTTCCGCTGTACGAATGCTTCTTTATGAGTAATTTGTCACAATTGACTTCAGACCAGGGAAATGGAATTCAACAATATGACTGCAAGGGAATGTTTTCGAGTCGAGAAAGACTGCGAGTAATCTTCGGCGAACGACCGGACATAACGAGGATAAATGTCGATTCTAGATTCGAAAGCTTCGGCCACGGAAGCGCTATCCACGTTTCCATATGAAGGACAATGATGTGAGAATACAGCATTGGTAAGACCGTTCATTCGCATCACATATTACCAGCGTTTCTCTGATGTTCTAAGGGATGTTCGCTAAAATCAGTAATACATAATTGAATAAGGGGAACATGCCCTACGTAGCGTGCAATAAAGTCAGAAAACGCTTAAGATCTCTAAAAGATTTATATATTATTTTACTATTCTAGCCAAAATTCCAATAAGTAGAAAGCGCAAAATAAAATTAAGGAAAATGTTCAAATATATATATATATATTTATATATTATATAAATATTATATATATATTATATATATAAAGCATTACTGTATTTTCATTCTGCGTTTCCTCTTGTCAATTTATCTATACCACAGACAACTGATGACAGCGTTGCTACGTCATACTGTCAAGAGAGCACATTACGTTTCGTCATTTTGCGTAGTGCAGCATTATAAGTAAATTCGTGTCCTTTGTTGAATAAGAATCGGACAGGCGTTTCGTAACCTCAGAAGACCAAACTTAGAACATAAGGCGTCAGCCTGCAATGGACTTATTCACATTTCATTTTTTACACAAGACGTCTGCACCGTACGTGCTACCAGCCAGTGGCTCCCATGTGTCTAAAAATGACGTTTATTTGGTATTGATTGTCACAAATTCTTATTAGACGGGTCAGCCGGACAAATATCTGATAATCCATTATCGATATTTGCGTGAAAAACTCTTGTATAATGTTTGAGAAATTCAATTTCTTGCAGTTATCTGTGTTTACGGTTTGAAGAGTAAAGTAGTTATTTAGCAAATGTAATTGATACATTTCGTTCCTTGACGATTTTATTTAATTCAGAATACGATCATACAACGAAGTAATCTAAACCGTCTGCTAGATGTGCATCGTAGTATATTACAAGAACCGGTCATCACGCATTCGGTCTAGTAGTTGGAGCGTCCGTTACCCGTTTGCGTTTACTCTTGCGGCCGACGCGGTGTTTGCGAGTCAATGCGAAGCAGTACAGCTCTTTTCGGCTCATCGGCGCGCTGCTAAATCACACGGCAGCGTCGCGGCTGCGGCATAATCATCTTGAACGGCGACGCGCGCAAATATATCGTCCTCCGCACCATAACGAAGCGGGGGCGCCCACGCCTCCCTCCCCTCTCTTCACTTTCACCTCACCCCTCCCATCACCCAGTCCCCCCCCCCCGCACCGCGTGCACCCCTGTCGCCCAACGGGGCCAATACACCCGCACATATGAGCCTGCCACCGTGGAACAATCCGCGCCGCGCCACCCCCACACGCCTCGCTCGCGTCCCGCCAGCTCTCCCTCCCACGACCCGCCTCGGCCTTCCCACGCGCCCGGTCCATAAAACAGTACGCCTTCGTGGCGCGCCACGCCGGACTTCGAATTGCCGCGTGCGACCCTGATGGTCCAAAGCAGATGCTTATAGCGCGCTCGTCGTTATCCTCCTGTACCTCCTGTCCTCCTCCTTGCTCCTCCTACCTCCCCCTCCTTCTTCTCCCCCTCCTTTCTCCTCCTCCCCTCCTTTTTTTTTTTTTCTCCTCCTCCCCCTCTGTCGCCCAACGGGCAAGTGGGGCCACGCTATCCCACAGCGCTCGCCACACGTTCTCGTCTCCCACTCGACTCGCTCAGCCAACACTTCTCGCACCACCGTCTCCACCGTGCTGCCTGTGTCGCGTTTGCTATCGCAGCTGTACGCTCCCGCACATTCCTGTAGGCTCTCCTCGACGTTGCTTCCCATTCGTCATCGTCTCTATTT